TCACGCTCGATATCTGCTCTTAATTTGCTTGCTATTTCAAGAACTTGAAGACTGTCAGCAAAATCCATGATGCATTACAAAACTTATAATTGGAAAGGAAAAAAAAAAAACCCTGATGGTTTTCTGACAGGATAAACAGTCTGAAAACACTGATCAGAACACGGCAGAGATACTAACTTGGAGCCACTTGTGCTAAAATGTGATTGCAAAGGAAGCAGAGAAAGAAACAGAGTCAGAGAAATCATTTCAACTGGATGTAAAACCATTTGATGAAACCCCCAAAATTTACACTGGGTGAAAAGGAAAAGATTGTACAAAACATTATTTTTTAAAAGAGATGGCTGAACCTGCCTCTACTTTCTTAAGGTGGCATTAGCTATGCCAATTAAAATTTTGCTTCTGAAAAAGAGTTAAGGCACTTCCTCTAGAGTTACTAAAAAAAGCAAATGAAAGCTTTGGCTCCACAGAGGTGAGCCAGAGTGAGCCGTTTGTTCTTGACCTCTGGATCACCCTACAGATCAAATTCTTGGACATAGGAAAAACCCACTAGTATTCATTAAAAGCAACTGGGAGGCTTTGTGCTTCTGTTCTCAAGACCTGAACAAGCTACAACTTGACAAAGTGAAGGATATTGCTGAACAATGCTGCTGTTCCTGTCAGGAGGGAAGAGCTTTATTCCCAGCTTCATTCAGGATGAATTCATTTTCATCACAATGATGCAAATCACAGATTTCGCTCATTATTTAAATAATTGATTGTCATCTTTTACGTCTGTGCTTTTCAGTTACTCCTGGTTGATCCCATTAACAGGCATTGATTTATATTGAGTTAGCTTCTATACTACACATTTTCATTCCTCAAAAAGATATAGTTATCCTCTAGTTGTATCTTTTGTATCTATAGTTATCTAAACAAATACGTGAGCTGAAAGTTTCAGATCTGCAGTTCTATTTCTTATTCTCCTAGACAGGGGTGCAATTTGCCCATACATTTTCATAGCTAAAAGTTATGTAAATAATTGCTTTATTAGAGTATTTTATGGCTTTTGACTTATTTTTTGTGAAATTTTAAGGCAGAACAGAATTGAAAAACCATAAATGAGCCTATTGCCTAGTTATTCATAAAATTTACTACCATAAATTTCTCTGCACATAAAGTTTACCAGGATACTTTTTCATTTCAGCTAATTTTGTCTTTCAAACAAGCAAAAGAAAAAAAAAAAAGCTACCTGTAGAACTGCTCAGCAGAACAAAATAAAACAGCAAAAAAAATATTCTCCCTGAACTACTGTTTCTGTCAAAACGTGGTTTAAACAAATTCTGGCTCCAGTTAACTGCAGTTCTCTGGTGGTTTGAATGCTTTTAAAGCTTCATTAGAAAACAGACATTGTGAGAATATTTGTATCCAAATGTCTATGGCATATTACAGTAAATTTGCTCCTTAGTATGGATGAACAATCTCAAATATAATGTAAAAAAAACACACACATTTTAAAATAACATTTGAATTTAATTAAAACTTATGCTTATTCACTTATGCATATTCAGCACCCAAAGCTGCAGTAAAAACTGTCTCTCCTTACCCTTTCACAGATACATCAGTATGAGTTATGCTTACATTTATTTCACAAAGGGAGTTTTAGATTTTAAAATTCATATATCAGTCACTGTATTTTTGTCCTGTTTACTAAACAGCCTCAATCTTAAACTCCCCAAGAAGAAAATGTTTCCATTGTAATCTTTTAAGAGCTTTGACTGCATCAACTATCTATTATTTTCCCACCAAACAAGCCACGTTCACAGGGCAAAGTCAGAAGGAAGAGAAAGGAAATGTTTTTGTGGATTGTTATCTATAGACCAAATGGAAAATCTTCAGCATTTTGCTTCTTCAAGGTACATCAAAGGATCTCCTATTTAAGGTGTGAAAATGTCAGTCACATTCTTCACCTCGGAAAATGAGCAGAGCTCTGAATGTGATTCATGTCCCACCCTTGCACTTTTCTCTTTTAAGGTTTGATACTGTTCTTTTCAACTTCCCTCCAGCTAATGCCATTTAATACTCTCAGCACCATCGAGCTAAATTCAAATTTTCTGCTCCTTAGAGGCTGTTGATATGCACCACCACACATTCCAATTGCAAATACACATGAATGCTCCCGTGTATTGTAAGTTATTTTCTACACACAACTTCTACAAAATTCTAAGTTAGGAGGTACTACTTGAATTCTCTTAGGTCTTTAGAAAGCTTTCAGATGTACCATGAGTAATAAAATGTAATGAATATGGACTGATATTTCTTTTCTGTAGTTACACTGAGTTGGCAATTTACATTTTGTTAGAGATGGGTGACTTATAGCCAGACTTCCCAGTACTCTGGCAATTACTTCTTTGAAACCCCTGCCAGGCTGAAACCTTCAGAATCACATCTGTTATTCTTGGTTTGATCCCTCTTTTTAAATTAAAACCAGTAGCTTTATCAACAAATGAGAATCTTTCCCCCCCCCTCTGGAAATACTTGCAAAACTGCACATAAATTGAACATGCCAACTCATCTCATTTTAGGGTTGGCACATCTTCTGGGTTAATGACCAGCATTCCATTTTTGTGACAGAACTAATTGGGGTAAGGAGGCCATAAATAAAGACAAAACCCCACAAATTCTCTTCCTTTGGGGTAATCTGTAGATTTATAGTAGTAGAGTGAGATGTGATTGGAGGGGAAAGAGGAAAAAAATATAAGATGTGCTAACAGGCTTGTCTGATCATTCTGGCTCAGTTTCCAGGCACAGAAGAGATTTTTCTAGTATCTGATGTGACTTTTCCTTCCTCTCAGAGACCAGCTAAAATGCAAGAAATAGTTGGATTTACACATTTTCTAGGAACTGTCATTATATAAAAAAAAAAAAAAAAAAGAAAAAAAAGAGAGAGAGAGAGAGAATGCAAAGGCAACACTGTGCTCCCAACACAAACTGGCTGATTGATCTGAAAAGCTGTATTGAAAGTGATAGCCTCAACTCCACATCAACAGTTGCTCAAAACATGCTTTGACAACAGTTTTTCACAGCTGAACACAAATGAAACATCCTTCAAGACACAGAAGTCCACACTCTGTTGGAGCTCAGTGAGCATTTCTAGCAATCTAGCTCCATTTACCATGCATCACTAATTGGAAAAATCCGGTTATCAATGGATTACAGGAAAGAATAATTCAGGTTTGTCTTCCATGACCAGGTCAGAATACATATGCCATTCACTTTGGATGGCTAAAACAGCTCAGTACCTTGAGGTACTGTCCCTTAATATTTCAGAACAAACACTCTAAATCCATGTGTACACCTGCAAAACAAAAGAACTTCTAAATGCAGCTGGAGACAAAAGGATAACAGGTTGCCATTCCAGATTTGGGAAGCAAAAGAGGAGAACAAAGAACACTCCACACTGCCAGGACATATAGATGTAAACCCATCACAGTTCTGCATCTCAGAATACCAAGCTCACTCTTCCCCAGGCCTGGACTCTATGTTCTCCAGACCTCTCCAGCAGCACAGTAGTAAACTGGTTATTCTGACCCAAATAAATTTGCAAAAATGCCTACACTTCCTAATCACTGGATGCCTGCAGAAGCTCTCCAAGTCTGAGACGTACGGATGCAAGAAGCTGAACACAATCTTTATCCTAGCAGCTAACCATCCTCAGCTCCTCACCTTGCAGCTCAAACCCACCTCACTCTACCCGAGGCTTTGTGTGCCCTGTCTGCTGTGCTGCTATTACAGAAAAAAACATACTTCAAAATACCTTGAGGAGATGATTCCTAACCTGAATTAAGATCATCTTTCCCAATCTGCTGATACTGCAGGATTTGGAGTATTTTTTTTTCAGCTAAGCAATGTCAGGCTGATTTAAACTACTAGCTAAAGGCTATGACTTAAATTAAAAAATTAGTAGATCAAGTCAAGAATGTGAGATACAGATCTAGATCAGTTTTCTAGCTGGAACTAATGCACACAATATGACCAGAAAAAAAAAGCACTGTCAGAAGCATCAGCATGTGTAGTGTCACTTGAATCACCAAGGTCTGCAGGCCAAGTCAAGAAAGATGAGACAAAAGGGAAAATTTCTAATATGTGTATAGGTTTGCTCCATTTCTTGGTTCAACCCCTGTCATTCCTCCTTCCTCTCTTACTTTCAACTTTAAAGCAAGCCTGACATCAAAAATAAGTTATAAGCTTATAATAAACCCTTCTTATAGGTGTGCATAAATTAGCATCTCAGTACTTCAGCTGACAATTGAGAATGCCAAGCAGCAGAATGATTATCACCATCACTCAAGTTCAGGATTCTGGTAAAGCCTGAAATGACTTGTGGCTGTTGTTAGCATCAGAATTTAAAGCAAGTGCTACCCAACACTCCACAGAGATATCAGACATCACAATTAAATAACATGCAGAAAAAACAATGAAGAATCTCCTTCTACAAAACAGGACAGCAATTTTTCCTGCACGGGTGGAATGAGACCAAAGCTGCCTTGAAATTCCATTATCACAACTTTACAAGCAAAAGAAAATGCCTAGAGCTGATGAGAAATAAGGCTTAAAGCACCTGCTGCCTTGTACCTTGAGCTGTGTGGGTGTTAAATGGTACCACACTAATCCATTAGCACAGCAAACATAAATACCTCAACAGTGTACAATATAGCAGAGCTTCCCTAGCACATACCAAGGTGCCACTGCAGTTAATCCACAAGCAGAGTAGGTTTGAGTCCAGTTTTATAGATGCATTCAGCAGGCAAATAGAAATAATTACTGCTCCTTTGCCTTATTTCACACACGTGGCTAAATACAGACTATATATCCACACACACACAAAAAAAAAAAGTAGTAACTTTCAGAGTGGTTTACAGCTAAGTTTGATACTGTTCTGCAGGGCAATGCAACAAAGCAGCTT